CAGCCCCTCCCCCTCTCTGCCAGCTGCCACCATGGCTGGGAGGTTGTACAGCGGGCGTCCCAACAGCGGCTCAAGGGAGGACAGCAAGGGTCGAGCAGCCCACAGGCTGGAACGGCATGAGGTAAGGAACATGGGCAGCCTGGGAGGGCGACCCAGTGCCCTGTGTCTGCTAGACTGGCATTTGACTGTGGGGGAGGGCCTGCCAGGGTCGGAGGACACTGGCCCGGGGAACTGCTGGCTATATGCCCCCACACTAGACTTTGTCTCTATTCAGGCTCTCCCTTCAACCAGCCTGGCTACACCACTCCTGGCTCCTGTCCCTTTCATGTTACCATACAGGCCCTTCTGGGTCTCCACTCCTGCTGCCCACCCCTCCAGCCCCCTTACACACACACACACACACACACACACACACACACACCCATCCAGCCTACACTCAGCAGCAGAGGGATCTCCCGGAAATGCAAATCTGGCCCTGGCACCTCCCCTGCTTAAACCCATCCTGACACTGCCCATCACCTTGCAAAGAGCCAACATCCTTACCTGGCTTTCCAGGGTCTGTGAGTCAGGCTCCAGCTAACTGGTGGAGCACTGTGCATAGACTCCTCTCTGTTCTCCAGGGAGTGTGGGTGGGAGGTCAGGCCATGCAGTACCCCTAGGTGGCCAGCAGAGGCCGCTGGGTCCCTGGTCCTGGAGGATTCTACCTCCCATTCTGTGTGCCAGGTCAGCAGCCTCTGCTCCAGAGATCTGTTAAGACTGGGAGTCCCCAGAAGATGTCTTACTGTTGCCAGTCACTGACACCTGATTCTCTGAATCACCTTTGACTAGGCAGTGCCAGGAGTCTGGGAAGCGAGGATCAGAGGTGGCCTTTAGTATACCAGTGCCCTCAGGAAGCCACACCAAGCCCCTCTGTTTTGCATGCCCTACCCTGGGCACCTGCCGGTCTGTCCCTCCATGAGCGGGGGATAGCACTCGGGGCTGGCGGGGACTTGGTGTAATCCTATGGGTCCCCCGCAGGTGCCAGAGCCAGAGGAACGGGAGCAGCAGGCACAGGTCCCAGAGCCAACCCCAACCCCTGAGTGCACCAGCCAGGATGTGACCACAGTGACACTCCTGCTGAGGGCCCCATCTGGGGGCACAGCCAGCTCACCTGCCTCATCCGACAGCTCCCCCACCACTGTCTCTCCTGAACCTCCGCCAGAAGCTGCCAAGGCCTCGTGCCCTGTTCCTGAGGCTCCAGGCAGCCCTGAGCCACCCCCCAGCCCACACAGAGCTACCAGCCCTGAGACCCAGGAGTCTCCAGCCACTCCCAGCACCAAGGGGCAGGTGGTCAACAAGGTGAGTCTGGACAGGGGGCAAGGATGCCAGGCAGGTGAGCTCCTCGGTCTGGGAGTCAAACCCTGCCCATGCGGTGTCTCCCTGCAGCTCCTTCCTGGCCCCACAGAACCCCCTGCTGCCCAGGGCCCCGTCAGAGGCCCCTCCGACACAAAGAGAACAGGTGAGGGTCCTGGCAGAGGTAGTTACAGGTGGGCTCCTCCCCCTCCCCAGCTCCCCTTTCCCTTCATGGAGAATGGGCTCTGGTGCCTGAAGAGCTCCAGCCTCCTCAGGTCCAGGCAGTCCCCGACTCCCCGCCTCCTGCTCCTGAGGTGTTCCCACCCCTGGCAAGACCCATCACCCCACCCCACCTCCACCCGTGGCCAGAAGCCTCCCTGCAGCCTTGAAAGGCAACAGGCCTCAGACACATTCTTCTCCCCAATAAGGGAGTACACCCATGTCCTGACTGGAGCTGTGGGCAGCGCTGGCCAGGGGTGACCTCCCACCCCCGTCGGCAGGGAGGATCTGGGCACCCTTCCTCCAGCCCCAGGCTAGCCCTGGCCCCAGGAGTGTCCAGGTCACCATGGGGTCAGTGCAGCAGGAGGAGGTGCTGCTGAGAGAGAGAGGCTGGGGAGCCTGGGGTATAGGAAGGGCTTGGGAGGCTGGGGGAACATGAGAAGTGGACCTCCAACATCTGCTGTCCTTTCTCTTCTCCAACATGGCCACCACACCCTCCCCAACCTGCCAGATCTGGCTGGATCCCGGCCCTGCCAAGACTCCCTGTCCATGCTCAGCCCGCGCCAGCCCACCCAGAACCGAGGTACTGCCTATTCTTACCACCCCCAGGCTCTGAGCAGTCCTAGTTCCATGCAGCCCCTGACTGCCCTCCTGTCCCTTCCAGAGCCCACCCCCATTGCCAGCGGACCTTCCCCGTTCCAGCGGGCTGGATCCGTGCGGGACCGTGTCCGCAAGTTCACGTCGGATTCTCCTATGGCAGCCAGGCTCCAAGACGGCCCATCCCGGATAGCCCTAGGTTCCTCGACGCCAGCAAGGACCCTGGGCTCCTCCCTCACCAGCACCTCCCTTGCTTCCTCCTCCTCCTCCAGTGGCTCCTCCTCTCGGGGCCCCAGTGACACCTCCTCTCGGTTCAACAAGGAGCTCCGAGGAACAGCCCAGCCCCTGGCCCAGCTTCAGAGCTGCCCCCAGGAGGAGGGCCCCAGGGGGCGGGGCTTGACTGCCAGGCCCCTTTTAAACAGAGCTGGGGGTCCCCCTGCCAACTCAGAAGAGCCCAGTGCCCTGCTGCCTGTGACCGTGGGCACTGCTGAGCCAGGGAGCAGCATGAAGACCACGTTCACCATCGAGATCAAGGATGGCCGTGGCCAGGCCTCCACAGGCCGGGTGCTGCTTCCCACAGGCAACCAGAGGGCAGGTAGGCCTCCCCACTGCAAGGCATGAGTGCCTGCAGCCACCCAGCTCTGCATGTAGGACAGGTGCTCAGAGCTAGGGTGTCTCTTGGGGGTGCCCCGGGAGCGTGGGACGCCATGAGCCTTGACTGGCACTGCCTTCACCCTACCTGACCCTGACTGCAGCCCTTCTTCCCACTCAGAGCTAACCCTGGGGCTGCGGGCGCCCCCTACCCTCCTCAGCACCAGCAGTGGGGGCAAGAACACCATCAGCCACGTCAGCAGCCCTGGGACCCTGGCCCGGCTGGGCAGTGTCACTCACGTCACCAGCTTCAGCCATGCCTCCCCTGGTAGCCGACGAGGCTGCAGCATTAAGGTGAGCCCTCCTCACCCCAACAGCCTCACGAAGTAGACTGCCTAAGAGACACAGAGGCCCAGAGAGGAA